TCCCGCCGAAGCCACCACCTGTTGCGAAAGACGGGGCGCCAACACGGCCCCGAAGGCGCCACTGCTTTCAACTCCGCCGGAAAGGTAACCAGCCGTTTGGTAGCGTATGTTCTCAGCTCGCGACTGCTTCTGCGCCGAGCTGATAAGACGAGCGGACGAGACGACGGTGAGTTAAACAAGGTTATGTACAGCATATATACAGAGGCATTACAAATTCGGCACTGGGGCCGACAGGGACTCGAAGAGCCGAGCTCTCCTCTCTAATACATAGGTCAACTTTTCGCCTAAGACCGCCGACTCACACACATGTCGGCTCTCCGACATGGGGACTCCTCTCTCGTAGGACCGCCGATCGCAACGCGCCGCAGGGCTTCTTTTATTTACACCGGGTCCAACCAAAATGTCCAATCAGAAGCGCCGCTGGTCGTCAGGGCAGAGTTCCTCCAATGGGGTCGCCGCGCCATGCGTCAGACCACCAGACACGAGGACGCCGGCTCGCTGTCACGTGCGCCGCTGACTCAATGCACGTGGGCCAGAGAGGCGCCGCGCGTGTTCACGCCGTTGAGATGTTCGCGTCCGGGCGGACTGCGGGCTGGCCTTGACCCAGATTGCCTTTTTCAGAGGCACGGACGTTTGACGAGGACTCGCTGGCATAACAGCACCCCCGCCGCCAGACAATGCACCGGAAAGACGAGCTGCTTCCACGGGGCTCGGATGTCAGGTGCGCTCGTTCGCCAGGTCCCTCCAGGTTCGCCTCCAGGGCCATGGGGAGACTACAGCTCCAGACTGTTCCGGGAACACATCCCATTTTTGACGACGGATCCCAGCTCCACTGGCTTGTCGCCACAACTTGCTGGCCAACTTCGCTCGTCTCTTCTGACCATCTTCGGTTTCAGCACTTGTCGATGGTTCTGCAACTTGCTAAGAACGGTTCGACAACAGACACACACATGACACAAGCAAGTGCCCTCGGTCACCCGACAGAACACCAGACAAAGTATAGTACAACATATACCTATCTACGTGTTTATCGGAATTTCGTTCCCTCTACATCAAGAGGCACATGTGGGACAAAAGACCCTTAAAATGACAACTCAATTTTTTTCCCCACGTACAACAACGTAACGGATTAGAATACCACATAAAGTTGGCCCCTTGAGATCACTCTGAACGAGAGCGCTCAGCCCAGGTCGTGATGAGGTCAAAATTTTGCCCCGAATCGCCAGCGAGAAACCGAAAGGTTGAGAAGTTACTAGCTGGAACGCACTGCTCAATGCACCTGCATTAGCGTTTACCTTTCCTTTATTTTTTTTATGGCGAACGTCAAAGTTGCGCTGTGGAGCAACATGCTCCACTTCAGTAACCGGCCACTTTTAGGCGACGATACCTATGCAGCACCAAGAGCGGCTCACACTTTCGACGTTGCGCATGGGAACAACGATACGGCTTGCTATGGATTGACTCCTCACCGCTTAGCTCGATATCGTGTTCGATCACCCTCGTGTTTCCGGGGCGGTCCGAAAACACGTCTCCAAACTCGGAACCAATCTTTCTCAGGTCCTCTTCTCAGGTCCTCCTTCACTTAAGCTAGGCTCCAGGTTCAACTGTTCCCAGATTACTTCCGATTTCCTTTCGATTATCTCACTAGAACTAAAAATTTCTGCTTCCTCTTCCTCCGAAGCTCTTAAAAGTAAATTTACGACTGCTTTCAAGTTACTGTGATAAACTTTGTTCGGCCGCCTTCCTGATTTAAATTCACAATTGGTATCAGAAAGCTTCGATACTACTTTTGCGGGCCCTTCCCAATCAACCTCAAGCTTGTTCCTTTTGTACGGCTGCAGTAGCATTACCTGATTATCAACTTCAAAAGCACGCTTCTTCACCGATTTCTCGCAGTGCTCCTTCGACAGCACTTGAGCCGCGTTTTTGTGGCTTTCCACTAGCGCTTCAATCGAGAGGTCCTCACGCCGTTCTCGAATGAGCGTCTCTCGATCAACTCTCGGCAGCTCGCTCCAACTTTCCGCTACAGGCGAGAGCGTTGCAACCCTCTCGCTCTGACTCAATGGCGCCATGTCGTCTCCCCCTACGCATACCTCGCCGGCCGCCTCCGCGACGGGCCGCTCGCGTGACCGCTCACATGACTCATGCGGAAAATTTCCTTTCTGGGGTTCCGTCGACCCGCCGACAAGGTCACTTGAGAGTTCACCGCATTGAACCAGATCAAGCTGCCGCGATAGCTTCCGCGCTTGCGATCGCGTGAGAGCCATGCACGCTAAGTTGGGGAAGAACGATTTGCCCTGCTCTTTGAGAAGCTGCTCTGAGTTGTTGGAGAAAAGATAAGGAAAACGATCATTTAGCGCGGCAGACACAGCTGCTTCGGTGCGAAGCTTACCGAACGGGCCTTCAATGACAACCGTGGCGATTGGTAAGCGAACACTCTGCACCTCGGCGACTTGCCTGATCCACGCGCATTCTCCTGTAAAGTCATCCGGAGACACCAATGAAGGATGGACAACGTCCATGGTTGCCGCTGAGTCTCTAAGTGCTCGGCACGTTTCTCTCATTCACCCTAATTTCTTGGAGATACGGCTCCAACAACCGCATGTTTTTTTTCTGATTCTCGATTGTTGCGAAGGCAAATTTTTCCTGACAGTTTCTCGCGATGTGTCCTTCCTTTTGCAGTTGTAGCAGATTAGCGGCTTCCGTTTGTTTTCCGGTTCTAATGCCTGTATGGTAGAAAACCTCACTCGATTTCTCCGCTTCTGTTTGCCCTTCCCCTACACTGTCCTTCGTAAGAGACGGGTCCTTCTTGAAATTACGGTGCGGAGCGGGTTTCCGTTGATCAGGTTTCCTTGAAAAGCCCTCTTTCCTTTCATCCTTTTCAACGCGCGCTGCCCTGCTATGCAACTTTCGGCGAGTATAATACTCCTCAGCTAACTCAGCTGCCTTGTTTAAACCGTACTTCCCCAAGTCTGTCCTGCAGCCAAAGTTTGACATCCTCTCGATGCAGCGGTAGAATTGCTCCAATGCAACGCATTCCACCACCTTATCGCGGTCGTCATACACACCTTCGCCCTTGAGCCATTCAATTAAATCGGCCTTAAGACGAAACGCGAAGTCAACGTGTGACTCATTCCCCTTTTCAGCATACCGGAACCTTTGCCTGAAAGCCTCGGGTGACAACTTATAACGTCTCAAGAGCACTTCTTTAACCTCGTGATAGCTCTCAAACGCTTCCCTCGACAAGCAAGTTATCGCGTCGGACACTTCGCCGGGAAGAAGAGCTAGCAGGTTCCGCGCCCAAAGAGACTGCTCCAAAGCATTTCGCTCACAGACGTGTTCAAACTTGACGAGATACTTCGCCATGTCCTCGCCTACTACGAACGGTGGCAGTTGATCCCGAATTCTAATACCGCTGACCTGAATCGTCGGAGAAGCTGCGCTAGGCGCCTGCGAACACTGTAGGATTGCCAATTCTATTCGTTTCATCTCGAGGCGCTCCTGTCTCTCGGCCTCCTCGCGCTCGCGACGTTCTCGCCTTTCAGCTTCTTCACGTTCGCGAGCTTCTCGCCTTTCAGCGTCTTCACGTTCGCGAGCTTCTCGCTTTTCAGCCTCCTCGCGGCGTGCTTTGATATCCACCCAGGCCTCATCGACTTCCTCAGCCGACACTCCCTCATCCTTCATGATCTCAAGGATCGCTTGCTTTCGTTTCGCACGGCCCAAAGTAATGCCGAGTTCCTCACAAATTTCAATGAGTTCCTTCACTTTAAGGTTCTCCATCGTTCACACTAGCCTCTTGCTGTTTGCCCCTGTTAAGAATCTACTTGCCGTACCCACATAAGCCTACTAGCAAGACGCGCAAGCAATTTTTCACACTCCCGTGTTTACCCCCTCCGCATTAACTTTGGTTTCAAAGCGCTTCGACTTGGCTTGAAACGATCAAAGCTCCCTTCAATGCTTCACACAGCCCTTCTCTAAACTACTACAACCTGAGCTAGAGTAGTCTGGTGAACTGAGGGGAAAACATCAGGCACTCACCGCATCGATGTCGCTGACGCCGGTCGATCCCGCAGCTGCCAACCACTGTTGCGAAAGACGGGCCGATCCCGCCGAAGCCACCACTGTTGCGAAAGACGGGGACGCCAACACGGCCCCGAAGGCGCCACTGCTTTCAACTCCGATGGAAAGGTAACCAGCCGTTTGGTAGCGTATGTTTCTCAGCTCGCGACTGCTTCTGCGCCGAGCTGATAAGACGAGCGGACGAGACGACGGTGAGTTAAACAAGGTTTATGTACAGCATATATACAGAGGCATTACAAATTCGGCACTGGGGCCGACAGGGACTCGAAGAGCCGACCTCTCCTCTCTAATACATAGGTCAACTTTTCGCCTAAGACCGCCGACTCACACACATGTCGGCTCTCCGACATGGGGACTCCTCTCTCGTAGGACCGCCGATCGCGACGCGCCGCAGGGCTTCTTTTATTTACACCGGGTCCAACCAAAATGTCCAATCAGAAGCGCCGCTGGTCGTCAGGGCAGATTCCTCCAATGGGGTCGCCGCGCCATGCGTCAGACCACCAGACACGAGGACGCCGGCTCGCTGTCACGTGCGCCGCTGACTCAATGCACGTGGGCCAGAGAGGCGCCGCGCGTGTTCACGCCGTTGAGATGTTCGCGTCCGGGCGGACTGCGGGCTGGCCTTGACCCAGATTGCCTTTTTCAGAGGCACGGACGTTTGACGAGGACTCGCTGGCATAACAACGTGATACCTATGTGCGCCGGGTACCGGCATATCTGGACTGCCGGAGTATTTTTAACTGAGTCCGCGCCACTGTAAAGTGTAGACACTAGGCAATATGCTTCACGAATACGGAAGTGTACGTTAGCTATCCATAACGATCTATTTGAAAAACTGTACCTGACAACCATATTTGTGTCTGAAATACGCACAACCGTGTCACTTCAACTAATCTCAACTTTCACTTCATTTCAGTGTAACAGACGAAAGAGGAGAATAAAATGTTGGGAACAGCCTTCTCTGCCATTTTTCTCACAGCGTTTACCTCAGGTGCTGCTTCAGGTTTGTCACAAAATTCTTCTTTTCATGTTCTAAATGACTGGAAAAAAATCACAGCATATATACGGAGTGAATGATAGTGAGCGGTCGAAGCGTCAATTCGTCTATCCGCTTGGCCGTCTATCCGTGCGTCTGTTCGTGCTTCCGTCCGGGCGTCCGTGCATCCGCCCCATTGCACACACTTCTATTGGACCAACGCCATCTAGGAAATGAGACGAGAAATGGTGATGAGACAGCGCCATCTATTATGTTGTTCGGGAAATACTACCGGTTACGCCTGACGCGTGGGACATAGACTAAGAAAACCTTCGCCCCCTAAAAAAAAGGAGGGGGGGTTGGACACGCATTGGCGAGAGAAAAAAAGAAGAATGTTATGTAACCGTGTTCTCTAGCATTTCTCGCGCATGTCTATAAACAGCCACAAATGCAACTTTATTATACAGGAAAACAGCTATTTAAATAAGAACTGAGACGGATGTGTAGTCTATGTTGTGATTGAAATAAAGAAAATTCGCCAGTACTTTTTCTACGAGATCAGCCAACCTTTGATCTAGCAATGATGTTGTGTCCTGACGTCATCACATGACTCCGCGATGTGTGAGATCATAATGACGTCACATTTGAGTCATTTGTGCCAGCATCCCGTGATGATCAGTTATGATCATCAAGGGATGCTCACGCCAACAGTCACTTTTTATGTATGATGAGTATTTTAAGAATTTCGCATTAATGAATCAGTTGTACATCAGCGCCTCATTGGTCCTTTCTTCTGTCGTCCGTGCCAGTATTTGTGCCGCTGTAATTCTTAGAGCGTAGTTCGTTAACGTAAAACAGTCGGTAGATACGCAGTCGATATTCAACTCACAGTAGATAAGCAACTTGCATTAGATATGCAACTCGATGATAACGAGCACGGTTCTCTAGGTATGGTACTTGAAAAACATGAACGACAAAGCTGAAAGAAACATACACAACAGGACTGGCAAAGTACTTTTAACTGACATTTACTTCAAGCTAATCATTCATGCTCCGTGCATCAGGCGCATACACGCACATCATTCGCATGGTTTGATGTGTCTTATCTTCAAACACAAGCTTCGTAATCGAATCAATCACCTTCAAATATGCATCGGAAGTGCTACTTCTTTTTTTTCCCCGCCAAAGATGGGCAGCTGACATACTTATTATCTGCCTTCTTTATAAAGGGTCCTGTTGTAGGTGTTTTTTTCGTCTTGGTAGTTTGCGCTTGAGAAGTAACACTTACCGACTCATCCAATTCGAAATATTGCTATTAATTATCTTGGCTTTTGCAGGGCGTGGACTGCTGCAATACAAGGTCAGGTACAGCTTGGCGGATGTGACCATCTACTGCTTGCCGTCACTGCCCTGCCAGTGTCCGTGCGAGTATGGCATCGAGTACCCCAGCAGGTGCGGCATGTGTGTTTGCCGTGAGTGTACCTTGCTACTTACCTCGTCGAAGCTCAGTTCGTGTTTGTTACGCTGGTGCTATACAATTGGACCCATAGGCGTGCACAGAGTTCCCCGTCGGAGGGTGGGGTGGCGCCAAAGGTTTGTCGCAGCAATCCCCTCCCTGTTAGGTCTTTGCGCCCCACCCGCGGTGGCAGAGCTCCCCCTCCCTATTAAGTCAATGTATGGTACTATCTTTACACACCCCTCTTAGGTCAGAGGGGTGCAAGTGAGGGCAAAGAGGAGGGCGCAAAGCGTGATATCATGGAAATAAGCAAATGTGATTGGACGTGACACCTAATGTTAATTATCTCAGGGTGTGACAGGAACAACATTCGGCGGAGCCCAATCTTTAGGTTGGAACCTACTCCAGTATGTCTAGAGTTCCGGCATCTAGAAGCACAGAAAGATGAGATACTTCATCAAAAATCATGTTTTTGAAAGGCAAGTGTGCTAGCACAGACAAAAGAGAGAGAGAGAGAAAAAAACAGAATATCCGCGGAGTGCATGATGATGACTGGGGCGAAGCATCCGTCAGTTCGTACCTGCTTCCATCCGTCCGTGCGCCCATGCATCTGTGCGACCGTCCGTCCACCTATGCGTTCGTCTGTGCGACCATCTGTCCATACGTCCACCCGTGCCACCATCCATACATACGCCCGCCCGTGCGTCCATTCGAGTGTACTTCCATGCGTCTGTCCACCCATTCGTCCGTCCGTGCGATCGTCCGTCCGTCCGTCCGTCCGTCCGTCCGTCCGTCCGTCCGTCCGTCCATCCGTCCGCCCGTCCGTCCGTCCGTCCGTACATCCATCCATCCATCCATCCATCCATCCATCCATCCATCCATCCATCCATCCATCCATCCATCCATCCGTCCATCCATCCATCCATCCATCCATCCATCCGTGCGTTCGTCTGTCTGTTCGTCCGTCCGTCCATTCGTGCGTCCGCCTGTGCATCCATCCGTCCGTGCTACTGCCTCTCTGTCCGTCCGTGCGTCTGCCCATCTGTCCGCCCGTGTAGTGAACACTCAAAGTACCGCCATCTCGCATCTTTTTATCAAATGTTCATCATATGGAAGTACCGCCATCCAGCAGACATTCCGAAGACTAAACTAGAGGTAGCACGGCCAGACTAGAGGAGTGGCACACGCACACTCTCTTACAGACCGTGATTTGTGTCTAGTTCCCACCTTTCACCACCACTAGTTCATGGCACTGAGGCTCAACCCTCGCTAAACCTTGCTAAAACGAAGGAAGTTACTCCCAATGAGTTTAACGTGACAATCTTTTCTAGTCACATAGTGCTCAAAGTGCGTCCTTCTGTGGTTAGTTTTTCTTTTAGTAAGCATCAAAATCAAAGTAAATTTTATTGGATATTAGGTCACCGACAGTCGTCTTCGTAGGTTGTTTCATGAGAAACAACTATCTATTAATTTATCATTAACGTGTGCAGGCTTCCTCCTCAATTCAAAAGAGTGTACCCGTGCCGCTCCTCTTGCCCGGCCGTGGAGGTGCTTACCTACTACTACTACTACTACTACTACTACTACTACTACTACTACTACTACTACTACTACTACTACTACTACTACTACTACTACTACTACTAATAAATCGCGGACGTCCGACCCATGGCTTAAGGTGCTTCGCCCCTAAAAAAGAGGGAAAAGGCGTTTGGTCTATCTTATCTGAGTCTAACATCATGATCATTTTATCTGATGATGATGATCTGAGCCTATTTACTTAGCATACGTAAAAGGTATACCAGTCCTACGGTGACGGGAGTGCCCACAGCTGAATACACGTATAACTAGTGCATATAACTTTGTACGTATGCTTGTGTACGTGACACAAGGTTTCATTCGGTTCGCAGCGTCGTGCGGTACGTGCTCCTCGGCCTGTTACTACAAGGTGAGACCAGGAGAGGCCTGTCCCCGATGTGCACCGAGTGAATATTGTTTCGGTGAAAGCGCAAACTGGCTACACAGACCGAGGTACCGGTCGCAGCTCGTCTCAGCCCACCGGAAAGGACCGGAAAAGCCGATGCCCTCGCAAAAGCCGAGCCATCCTGATGGTACAAAGGAACCGCAAAAACAGAAACCTTCGACAAAGCCGAAGGAACCAAAAAAACCGAAGCCCCACAAAACGCCAATCAAACTGGATACGGTCGAGAAATCGGACGTGCCGTCGGAACCAGAAAATCCGATGAATCTGGATACACCAGAAGAGCCAAGAAGTCTTAAAGATCCTGAAAAGCCAATAGAGTCAGAAAAACCTAAGGAACCAGAAAAACCCCACTAACTGGGAAAAAAACTATACATAAAAAAAACCCAGAACACTCGGCGGGCTGAAACCATATTTTATTGGTAATAACCTAGAGAGACTGCTATTAAAAGGAGGTTTTATTTTTAATAAATGCACACGAGGACAATGCGCACGCTGATGGAGCCTATTATCTGTGTCAACTCAAGTTTGTACAGATAATATTTTAAGTTTATACTAGTTTTATATTGCAGCAATAATAGTGCACGCACGCACACACGCACACACACGCACGCACGCACACACACACACACACACACACGCACACACGCGCACACACGCACACACGCACACACGCGCACACACGCACACACGCACACACACACACACACACACACACACACACACACACACACACACACACACACACACACACACACACACACACACACACACACACACACACACACACACACACACACACACACACACACACACACACTTAATCCTTCACTCGACTTTATTGGTCCGAACGCTACAAAGATACTGATTTTTGTATCAGCACTGATTTTATTCGACGTGTCTTGAAACTGGTTTCAAAAACTTGCAAGGCGCTTTGTTCGCAAAATACAAGCAAAACAATTTTTGAAAGTACGCAAAGGATTGGCTCTTCTGCAATGCACTGCGCAAATTGCCCTAACATCTCCCGTTTCTTTAAAATTGTTGTAGAATATTTCTTGAAAATTTAAAAACTGATGTGCACGGAGATGGGAGCTAAAAAAAAAAACTCTTCGAAGCATTTGTGGGCTTGTTTTTGCATCTATCGTTGTCTAGTAGCGACACTTGGGGACACGGTCGTCGTTTGACTAGATCATTTAGTAAAGAATATGCTGCTTTCTCTAGTAGCTGCTACGCTCTCAGAAAAAAAAAATCGGTTCCGCAAAACCATAGCAAACAAGCGTTTTGTACCTTTTTTATAGCTGCTACAAGCGCGTGCCGCTTGGGACTTGAGGGAAACACCATTTTCTAATTCCGGTTACAAAAATCTTGTGCGTTCTCAGTGGAAACGCATGCTTTGAGCCCATTTTCAAGTCTTTTGTAGAGCCATCAGTTCAAGTCAAAAACAACTGGCAAAAGAAATCATGGTAAATAAATGGGTTCGGTGCTCCCAAACGGTTATTTCAGCGTGGACGCACCTAGATCGTCTTTACCAGGAGTGGTACAAATTGCGTGGATGAGCTCAGCTCACCTTCGGTTGGGACATGGTTTCAAAGGAGCAATGTCGTGCTACGGAGCAGAGCTACAGCGTTCATTCGTGAAACAAAAATGACAACGAAACTAAGCCCGTAGAAATCGTGAGTGCGAATCTACACGCGAATAGCACCGGGTTAGTCGCGTAAACGAAGGCAATAACGCTCGCTAACCCAGAACAAAGCCGGAGCCGGCGACGGGCCCTTGGAACGAAGAGCTCCCCATTATTCGTCCTGCCGTCCAAGATGGACCAATCGTCTGACTTGTCAGCCCGAATCCCGTAATGCCTCTTTCTATTTCTGTTTCCGTGTATACCTTCGGTTCCCGTCTTGTACGCTCGACACGAGAGCCGAAATCGAGTTTTCCCACTCGCTGTTCTCTTTTCCTCCCTTCGTCTCACCAGAGCCGGATTGTCTGTTCTACCCGAAACAGTCGCTCTACTTCCCATTCCTACCTTCCGCTCAATCAGTCCAGCACACGCATTCTGCCACGAGCGTCTGGCGTAAATAACAAGCAAAAGAACTGAGACGTAAATAAGCGAAGAGAAAAGTCTACTGGCAGAGCGGATAATGAAGTAGTCGGCCAGTGGGCGCGCTCCCGCTGTTCCAGTTTGCCGCAACAGCGTCGAAAAAAAAAAAACAAATAGGGCGGGAAACACAGTGGTTCGGGTCTGATTAAACGCCCCGGCATCCTTGCTTGTAGACCGTGGAACTTCGCTAACACGAGCGCTTGCCTTCGCTTACAATGCGCACATGGCATCGCGAATGTCGTGTTGGGTCTTGTAAGCGCTGCTTCCATTCATGCGACGCCGTACAAGAGTGAATAAAAGTAAAACCAGTTAGTTGCACGTAATGAAAGCTGTCGAAACAGCCAGGCGTTTTCATGCAAACCCTCGTTGCCGTGGGCGACTAGCGGATTCTTCCTCTGACACACTATGTAGCAGTCTTGCTCATCTTCAGAAAAAAATGCTGCGCTCATTAACTTCTGCTCTTGTTCTCATAGCAGGTCGCTTCCCCTCCACCTCGTCTCTCTTCCTTGCGACCAGTGCAGCTTCTCATTGGTTACCAACTGTCCGGCGTGTCTTTCCTCGCACTCACTATAGTGAATTAGATAGCATCACATATGTATGCTCGCTTGAGAAAAAAAAATGCTTCTGCGATGGTAGTAAGTTTGAGGAGGCCCAGAAGGGCACATTCTCTGAGAATGCGCAGTTTTGGCAGAAGAAAATGCAGTCTCCCCAGATAAGGCTGCGGCACGCTGGACGGCTGTGCGGCGCAGCTCAACCTCCGGGATCATCTGTGGGCCCTCCAGCAAGACCACGAGGCGGCGAGGAGACAGGGTCTCCCGTCCTCCTCGGGGGTGGCCTAGGCCCAGGCCATGAATTTGCCGGATTCGTTAATAAAGTTGTTAGTACCAACACCCACAAGGGGTCACCTCTCACAATCTCTAGGTGGGCTCCTCATTACAGAAGCCCATTGGCGACCGCCGCAACTCGGGCTCTGTCGACCACGGCCTTCTGGCGCGCCAAGTTGGAGCAGCCGAGCAGGGCCGCCTCCCTGTCTTTCCGGATGGGGTGTGCTTTCGGGGCAAGGTTTAGGGTTGAATGGTATGCACCCACCATGCGGAAAATGTGCGAAGACGTCTCCGCACAGTGTGGGCACTTTCCTGTACAGACCGTGTTTTAGTACTGCCGGGCACAGCAGTGTATTGGTGTAAAGGTGATACACGAGGCGAGGAATGCACCGCTGTTCAATGTTTCTGCACGCCTTTCTCGAGTCGGTGATGATGACGCTTGAGGCCAGGTCTGCGGCGGCTAGCGCGATGGTATCTTCTTCTGCATGTATTATCTTTTGACCTCTGAATGTCAAGATATTCACCGTGACGTTTTGGTGGACCACGGCTGCCGTGTACCCTTCCTCGCATCACCCCTTAAAGGAGCAATGACATCAAATTTCAAGATCGAGATGCGCCCATCATTCGATCGCTTGGTTTGCATAGGTCTTCTTGGCCGAACTTGAACGGCATCCGTCACGTGGAAGTTATTTTAATTCGATGACAAATAGCGCAGAAAAACTAAGGAGAAAAAACAAAAAAATAGACTGCCCTGTGACATCGACAATAGTGCCACGTGTTTGGTGTGATAAATTCCACCACGGACGAAGGAAAGGTAGGAGAGGCCCTGACGTCACTCGTTGTGAAGCCGCGATGAAGCCGGAAGTCGGCCATATTGACTGGGCGAATTCTCCTCTCTCGTTTACATTCGAATGTAAAGCAGAAGGCACGACTCTCTCTTTGGCTCGGAAAGCACGTGAGCTGTGCAGTGCGCGTGTCGTGACGATCCGAAACTAATGGAATGGGGCTCAACACTCTGAGCCTGCGCGACACCTTGGTGAAATCATTTCGTCCGAGTATTAATAGCGAGTAACAGCTCACCAACAACGAAGCAAGTACAAAAGAATGCGCGCTAGATGCACTGACAATGGGGAGTGTTTTCGCGTCATTATTTCAGCAACTGTACTGGCAACACGATCGGTCGTGTGCCTTTTAGGGTTGCATTCCGCCACGCGATCGACGCAGCGTCCGGTCACTGTGTCTGTGTTCCGCGTGAAACTCACCGGCGTCAGCATTCTGCGACTATGGTCACTTTGAGCACGGTGCAAGTGACACTTGAACGCGGTTGCTGTTACGTTGAGATTACATGCAATGCTGGAGGAGAGTATGCGAAGCAGAACAGAAAAGGTGTTTTAATACGCACATGCAAGTTGTTACTGTACACACACAAAACGAAACTACGTATATATAGGTGCGCATTGTCCTCATTGCGTCTTGCTGGGCTAAACAGCGTCGTCCATTGTCTCAAGCAGGAGCACTGCCCAACCGTCACTGGCCTGCAAGGCGTTCGTCGTCGTTCCGCTTCCTCGTGGTGCCCAACGCAATTTCGCTCAACACTAATTGTTTCATCCGCGTCATTCGCCGCACCACACATGGATATGCACTCGTTCTATGCACTGTTGAAACGCCGTGACGGACAAAAGGATCTGTAAACGTTGCTAAGAGTACACTAACTGCCAAGAGAACACCGCGTAACCAATAACGCGGCGCAGAGCACGAATATTGTCCGCCACGGCTCAGCATGAGACTTGGGGAGGAACACATGCCGCCGCCAGCCACGGCCGCTCACATCTGGACCAGCTCCACTGCTACGTACCACTGCGCAACACGTAACCACACGGAGGGCGTAACCATAACAACGCCGCCATTGTGCCCAGCACGGAGGAAGGAAAGCTTTCTTTCCTCCGTGGTGCCCAGTGAATGTGGCCGCCATGATGTTATTTCCTCCACACTTTTCACGTAGCGGGCCCGCTGGGCATGCTCTCCCATATCCTCCATACATTCCACAAATACCATCCTGAGTGACGATGCCCTAGTAGCGATGACGTGTACGATCCGAGTGTTCTTATCGTGGCGTTCACTGGCGCCGAAGTGCAGAAACGCACTCGCTCGTCCACGGCCGGGCCCCAGAACACCTACCAGCGCTGGTGCAGTCTAGCCCGGCCATGGCTCTTCGCGTCTGATCTTCATCGTACCGGTTTGAATGATTTTGTGAAATTATCAAGATAAAAACTACCTTTAAAAGAATGGCGAAAGAAAAGAGCATGCTTAAACGCGTGCTTGTCGGTCAGCATGTCGGGGAATCGTTGAGAGTTGCGGGTGAGTTGCAGTCGTCTAGTTCGAAGCACTGAAAAAGCGCAATGAGGGTGTCTTTTCATATCACGTATGTGTTACACATCAACACGACCACAAGCTATCAAAAGTGGAAGAGCGTGTTGTCAGATATCATTGCTAAAAAGTAACACGCAAGTATCATTGAATTTTAGTTCATCTGTAGACTTTGCGTCCACGTAAAAGTGGTAATACCATGTTAACCG